GGTGGAAAGAAGGAACAAAGATTACTTTTCCCAAAGAGGGAGACCAAACAGCAAACAACATTCCAGCTGACATTGTCTTTGTTTTAAAGGACAAGCCACACAATGTCTTTAAGAGAGATGGGTCTGATATTATTTTCCCAGCTAAGATCAGCCTCCGTGAGGTAAGCAAAGGTGCCCGATTCAGTATGGGACTCTAGTGGGTGGCTTGGTTTGAGTTTTAGATAGTGGGAGTAACAAATGGGAATACTGAGATCTTCTCTCTCCCCTACACTTTGTTCAGTATCTGGCTTGAATCCATAATAGGTCACCTGTCTAACTGCTCTCTGGTCTGTATAAAATAAGTTGTTAGCCTCAGGATACTTCCTTGTCATAAGCCACCATTAGCGATGGCAGATTAGAGGCAAACTACTTTCTTGAGAAGGTGAACTTTCAACATCCAAACTGACCCACATTGATGGATCAGCAGGAAGGGTTGCACAACTGTTTGTTGTGGTATATTAGTACAATTTCTAGTGCTATTAATCTGGTGTCTGTATCAGATTAATATGGGGGGGGGGTAGGTCAGTGGTTTGAGCATTGGCCTGCTAAACCCAGGGTTGTGAGTTCAATCCTTGAGGGGGCCACTTGGGGATCTGGGGAAAATCAGTACTTGGTCCTGCTAGTGAAGGCAGGGGGCTGGACTTGATGACCTCTCTGGGTCCCTTCCAGCTCTAGGAGATAGGTATATCTTCATATATTTATTTATTAGATTAACTCAGCAGGATTCAGAAGAGCCTAACTAGAATAAACAGATGAAATGAGAATCACAGTGAAAATCTCTGTGGGTGTTTGGGAAATCTGCTAGAGATTGTGTATGCAGACAGTGTTCTAATTGCCCTGTTTTTATACTTAGGCCCTGTGTGGTTGCACAGTGAATGTGCCAACGCTGGATGGCAGAACCATTCCAATGGTATTTAAAGATATCATTAAACCTGGGATAAAGCGGCGAATCCCTGGAGAGGGCCTCCCATATCCCAAGAATCCAGACCAGCGAGGGGACCTTATTATAGAATTTGAAGTAAAGTTTCCAGACAGAATTCCACAGGCTTCCAAAAGTGTCCTAGAGCAGATCCTTCCAATATAGCAAGGCTGCTCACGGAGAACTGAAATAAGGACACTTTTCCAAAGCAAAAGGTTTTTGGACCATAACCAGGACTTCAGGGTTTCTCATTAGTGGAGGTTGTTGACTTTCACACTAAGTATTTTTCCCCCCCCACGAGTATCCTCTTCAAAATTGTGCATTCACTTTTCAGTGACTCTAGTCCCAGATCATCACTTGAAGTATTTACATCAATGAGCAGCTGCTTGTGGGAGGAATCTGAAGAACATCTCATGGTCAAACCTTTCTTCTGGTGACCAGTTTCCACCCTAGTGCTCAATGTGCTGCCTTCCCTTAACTGGTTACCCATAGACTGGGCATCTGTTTCATTTCATCTCGTGCAGACCTGTAGTTCCTCCATTGGAAAGGGTGAAACAAAAATCTAAAACTGGACTTGCAAGTAAAACAATCTCCAACATCTTGCCTTTGCTGTTGTACTGTGTTGTGTCCCTTGTCACTTCCTACACTGAAGGACTTTCCTGCTGGGACACTCTCTTAAATGTTCTTAACTATTTTTAGTTCCTGTAAGTTGTCAATGTCTTGCTAAGGGTTTTCTTAAGTTTTTCCTTCTGTCAGTTGTATTAGAAGGAAGGCACCCTTTGTTTGACCTTAATCTATTACTCTGGAAACATCAGAAGTCCTAATGTCTTTCAGAATGTGAGCTTGAATGAGTAAGCCTTTAGCCAATGTATGATGAGTTTTAAACCTACCTACCAATGTTAACAAGGTCTGGTCTAGAAAAAATATGCGAAGGAAAATGGATCTTAAGTATAATACTCTGAATCATTCCCTCTATGAAAGTCTTCCCCCTCGCACAGACATTTTAAGGTCTCTCAGCCTGGTTCCTGGTCATGGGTTGAACAAACAGGGGGCAGCCATTTCTCATTCCAGGTACACTGTATCTAAACAGGATGTTGAGTCTCTTATTCATCATCCTGCATGCAGAGTCAGTGTCAAGACTTATGTTAAAGACTTATTCAGTACACTAATGGACTCTGGACTTTTTTCAAAGGACTGTGATCCTCTGAATTGGTAGCACCACCAGAGATATCCTTTGATAAAAAGGGTTTTTGTTCCTGATACAGGAACACTGTGGCACTTCCTGTATATATTATATATTTTTTGTATACATTTGTGTAAAGTTGATGTGTGTGTAATGCAGTAAAGCATCTTGTATTTTATAGGATTAAGTACATTGATAAAGATTCATGAGGGGGTTGTGAGAGAACATGCTCTCTTAATCCAATGGGGAAGCATGAACCTGGAATGCACTGGAAACTTAACTTGGAATGTTACTGCCATGATGACAGACTGTCAAAGAGCTGTATCACAATTAAAGTCTCCTTAACTGAAGGAAAAGATCTAGGCATGTCTGGGGGCAGGATTGGGTATCTGGAATGAAGGACTTATTAAAACATGTCATTAAACTTCAGTGAATTGGGAAAATGCTGTTAGGATTAACTCTTGTTGAATATTGGTTTAGTCAATAACCACCCAGCTTTTGCAGAGTGTATTAGCACTAGCGCTTTTCTTGGTTGAGCTAGCATATGGTGGAATTACTGGTACAACCACCCCGTGCTCATTGGGCTGGGGCCTAGGTCTTTACCCTCTACTGCTGTCTACTTTCCTTATGCTGCTTTCAGTATTACCACCCATGGAACAGCTGCACTACTCTGGAACCAAGGGTGGTGCAAAATCTTCGTGTACACATGGCTTCATTAGAATCATGGCACACATAACTTGCACAATAAAGCTTAGAGCCAGGGCTGGGGCGGAAGCTAGGAATTCTTGTCAAGCTAGTCCATGCATTCTAGGCCGCCTCCTGGCTTGAGTCACAAATGTACTTTGGGAGGGTGTTCTATACCTTTTTTTCTATGGGAGAGCTCCCATATGCTAGCACCATGCTGCTTCAGTTGTCTGAGTGGTGGCAAGTTACCACCATCTCTTCTCTTGTCCTCTCCCCCCAAGAAGGATGCCATTTCAAAGTGGATGTCTTAAATACTTGTGGTGGCTTAAAAAGCGAAGGGCTACAGCCAAAGTGCTCCATCACAATGCTACTGCTATTTAAAACTACTCCCCTCCTGCCTGTTTCTACTACCTTTTACTGACCTTGCTTCTATTTAAGGCTAAGATTTTATCAGGAATATTTTTAGTAAAAGTCATAGACAGGTCACTGGTAAAGAAAAATAAATGGAAGTTGTGAGTTGTCTGTGACTCTTACTAAAAATATCCCTGACAAAATGGGGAGCTGGGGCTCCCCATACTGCCTGAAGTGGTCAGCAGTGCAGGGGCTAGGAGCCACATGCAGGGGCACTACAGGATCGTACTGTGGCAGCTTGGCCCTCCAGGGACCACTAGAGGTGACAGGAGTACCCTGCAGCTCCCAGCTCCTGACCAGTGTAGGCTGAAGTCACAGACGTAGCTGGAAGTCAGATTCTGTGACTAAATTGTAGCCTTACTTGTATTACGTAAACACTCCCCTGGGGGGCTAAAGCCCTGGTCCCTGTGGGCAGAAACCCTGAGGCCCTGGGCAGAGTTGGGAACATGGAGGGTATTTCCCCTCATCTCCTTCTCTCTTCTCCTCCCCCCCCCCCACCACACACAAACACAAAAAAACCCTGCAGCACAAGAGCAGGGCAGTCCCAGGGGCAGCTCCATACCTTCCCATTTCCTCTCCTCACCCCTTGGTCGGGGCACGGTGTGACAGCTGTAGCTGGTGCCATGGAGCAGACAGTGTTCCCTCCTCTGCTGCCCTGCTTTGAAGCTGCATCTCCGCTCCCCACCCCCTTTGCTCCCACAGAGGCAGCCAGTAAGTGCCCCCTGGGTAGGGAGACCCAGCTCAGGGGCTGGCAGACCCCTCTGGGAACAGGGACCGCAGGGGAGCCCTCCCAGCACATAGCCCCTAATACCCTTCTCCCTACAGCCTGAGGCTACGCCCTCCCTGCCCTCTGAGCTGCCCCCTGCCTACTCCCAGTCCCTAGCCACCCCCATTCTTGCACCCATAGACACCCCATGTGTGCACACAGTCCCAGGTACCCTCTCCCTGCACCTTGAGCTACCCACTGTCAGCATACAGCCCTGAACTACTCCCCCTACACCCTAAGCTGTTTTCAAACTTTTTGACCTAAGCTCCCTACCTCTGCTGGGCCCTGGAGTTTTTATAGCATATCAAGGGTGGGGGGGCTCAGAAAAAGGTTGAGAACCCCTTCTCTAATGGACTTGTAAAAGAGCACGTGAGCTTCATGTGAAAAAATCAGGTGTCAAAGGGGAATTGGTTGTACTTTACTACTACTACTATCATTTTATTAGAGAGAGTGTTATGCAGAACTTCCTCTTCCATTCCTGTTTGCAATATCCAGTATCCCTGTCTCCCTTACAGCACTGGAAAAGTAAGAGTAGGGGGGTATTTATGTATCTCAGCTGGCAGTTTCTCCCCTCTTCTTTTCCTGTCAAGATCCACCATTTTTTGCTCTCTTAACAGCCTTGTGGGCTTCTCTTTCAATAGTCGGCCTTGCTCTGTCATCACCTGCTCTTTACTGGATGCTTGATGTTAGCACTGTCTGGTGCCTTTCCTCAATAGCTGCTAGTTCTGGTCCTCCTCCTCAGTTGTAGGCCCTAGTAGCCGCTTATATTTCTTCCTACAGTGCAGCAACCCCTGCTGGATATAGCTAGACTGGCCCCTTGTGTCAAAGTGTTCCTTGTACAGAAGTGACTGGCTGTACTTTAAAAGGAAGCGGTGTGACCTACAACTCTTCCATGAATATGTTTGAGAACTTGCTCTAGCACAGCAGTATGACCTCATTTGTACCCTGTACAGCTAGAAAACAAAACCCTACTCCCTGCTAGGGTGACAAATGGGGGAGAGAGACAGGGATGTTAGGGGCAGCACAAATCCTTTTTTTTTTTTTAAAGTGTTCAGAGCTCGTTCACTCCACCCCTCAGGCCATGGTTTTTATGGGGGATTCCATGTCACAATCTGATGTCCATGTCCCAAGCTTCCATATGTTAAGGCTGTCAATCAAGGAGCCTGTATTAAGCTGGGCTTCAATCGTCTCTCCCCTCAGCCTTCCTTCATGAGTGGAAACTTTTTGCAACGAAATGATACAAACCCAAATCCTGTCGTTCCAGTTTAAGTGAACGGCTTCGTAGAGGGCCAGAAGAATTGCCTCATTCGTTTGGACGGAGATTTTCTCATCGGCATCGGCTATGAACATGCTGCCCACCATATTGGTTAAGGCTGAGAAAAAGCCACTCTGGTGCTCCTCTTCCTTATCTTTGTACTGCCTGTTGTACTCGGATAATGCCTGGGCGATGACCAGTCCCATTCCGTTGAGTGTGGCCTCGTCATCTACAATAGAGAGTTTCACAATGTAGGGATTCACCAACTCATACTTTCTGTAGATGTGTATGTGTAAATGTTTTAGTGTGCTGTATATTCCAGGGGCTCCCTGGCATAAGTTCTTGGGTGAAGGGTCAGAGAGCAGAAGATACAATTTGCTGCTGTCTAGCACACCACAAGCATTTTATAAACAACTGACCCATAAGAATTGTCCCCTGTTAATAAGGCTCATGTGCCATTACCAGGCTTGCACACCCATGGAAACTACCTGAACCAGCATACAATGCATGCTAGCCTAATGCATCATAAGAGCATTGCAACTGGGGGACTATTGTATCAGATTCCACCTATATTTGAAGAATTAAGGTGGCTGTAATATGGTCCATTTCACCCAGATTAGATATGGTCCTCAGGCTCCCAGCAACCCCCTAGCTCAGCCAGTCAATGGTACAAAATAGGGAAGCACCGGGCTTTCTGTGTTTATTTTATTATGATAGTGCTTAAGGGCCAATTGAGAACCATCACCTACTGGGCTAGGCACTGTGCAAACAGTAGGTGATGGTATCTACCTTGCAGAGCTTACACTGTAAACAGACAAACCACATACAGTGGGTGGAGGAAGCAGTATAACAAGCAGAGTGAACTATGTGAGAACAGCAAACATATCAGTTCCATGAGTAGTTTTTATTTTGGGTGGGTTTAGCTAGGAGGGGATCAGCTGGATGGGAAGGGGGGGGTGAGGGCAGGAGAGAAGAGGTGCAGGTGTGGAGTAAAGCTAAGGTGAAAAAACAGGAGGGGAAAGAATGTTGGAGCAAACAACCACTCAGCATTCAAGCACAGAAAATCCACTAAAAGCTAAACTTCATTATTAAAAAGTGTCAGGTATTAAAAGTACGCATCATGGTAAGATTTGAAATGCAAAACTGTACATGTCACAACCCTGAATAACTGCATCCCACCTGTTTCTCATATCTGGTGGAACAAAAGGCACTAGCTACTAAACAGGGAATGTCAAATGCACACCTCCCTTACTAGCTTGCAAACAGTACAATTGTTCGTGTGTATTAGAGTAGTGCCTAGGAGCCTCCAGTTCACCCAGCCACAAAATGGGTACCTATTCCATCAGGTTAGGCAGGCAAAGGCAGGTGAACATGGGCCTAGCCAAATCGCTCCCTTGTGTACTGTTGCCTATGAAACTTACATGCCTTAACTGCATCAGCCGGATGAGCCATTGGCTCAGGGGATCTTTGACTAGGAGCCCCTGCCCACAGACTAGGACCCCATTGTGCTATGTGCTGTACACCCACTGAACACTCAGTCCCTGCCCCAAAGAGCCAAACATCAGATAGATGGACACAGACAGGCAAAAGTACAGGGAAGCAATAACCCGAAGGAAGAGCGCTGTGGAAACTTGAAAACTCGCTTCTTCCAACAGAAGTTGGTCAAGTAAAAATATTACTTCACCCACCCCTGTCCCTCCCATCCTGGGACCAACATGGCTACAACACTGCAAACAAGGAAGCAATGAGACAGAATTGGTCAGCATGCTGGGCTGGGGACCCTGATCATTTTGCGGGGAGAGGGGACAATACACCTGGTACAGGTACTCCACCGATACCTTTGCCTGCTAATTTCTGATTGGCTATTTTCAACCTTCTTGCTTGTGATTGGCCAGGGGAAGCAGCCGGGGCAGAACTGGTTAGTAGGCATTTCCTGCCAGCTCCCCTCCTTCTTCAATGGTATCTTGCTAGTCCACCTCTGAATGGTATCTCCCACTCTCCCTAGGGCTTCTGGGTGGTATCTCCCTTCGTTCCGCTTCTTCCTCCTTCCCCCCATCTCCTGGGATGGTATCTCCCCTGCTGTTTGGATTGGACGCTTCCATTGCGCTATGGTTCCGAAGTCTGCCCGCCCAGCTCCCCTCCCCGGCCAGCAGAGCGAGCTGTGATTGGCCAGCGGGTCGGCGCGAGGTGCTGTGATTGGCTAATGGGCGCGGCGATGCGCCTGCTTGCCCTCCCTCCCCGAGCGATAGGCCCCGGCTGCGCCCGGCCGGAGTTTGGTGGAGGGACGGGACCGGCTCTGTGGGGAGGCGGACGGGGTGAGTCAGGCCGGCAGGGGAGGAAGGTGCCCTAGAGCGGGGGAGTCCAGCTCTGAGGGGGGATGGGAGTGAAGGGCGGTGCCCTAGGGTGGGGGAGGGTCCAGCTCTGA